CATGCCATTGTTTAGGCGCTTGCTTCAAACCATACAAAGATTTGACAAGTTTACAGACTTCTTTGCTTTGTCCTGGAGCTGAAAACCTTTCAGGTTGGCTCCATGTAGATTCTTCATTCCAAATCCCCATTTAAGAAAGCTGTCTTTACATCCATCTGGTTCTCAAGATTGCGCAAAGCTGCTATCACATCACTTTGCGAATGGATGTTTCCTAGTTACAGGTGAGTACGTATCAAAGTAATCCAGGCCTTCTTATTGCCTGTACCCTTTGATAACGAGCCTCGCCTATATACTTGTCAATAGACCCATCCGCCGTCATTTTCGTTTAAAATTCATTTGCAGCCTAAAGGCTTACAACCTGGAGTAAATCTACCAACTCCCAGGTTTGGTTCTGTAAGATGGAGTCAATCTCACTTTTTGATGCTTCTTTCCATAAAGGACTCTCAGGAGAAGTACAGCTTCGTGGAAAGTTAGGTCGTCTCAACCATATAAGTCAAGAAGTCTGGACCAAAAGATTTGGATGTCCTAGCCCTTTTACTCCGTCTGGGCTCATCTAAAACCTCAATTTGATCATCACCTGGATCATCAACATGATCATCCTCACTAGCAAGCTCATCAAATTGCTCCAAAGACCTTGGAATCCCTACATGGGTTCGGCAAGGAAAAATGTCTTCAAAGAAACATGCATTCCTTGACTCTATGATGGTATTCTTGTGTATGTCTGAAATTTCAGACTTATGAACAAGAAACCGATATGCACTACTATTATGTGCATAACCAATGAATATACAATCCACAGATTTCGGGCCTATCCTAACCCGTTTAGGTGTAGGAATCGCCACTTTTGCAAGTCACCCCCACATTCGTAAGTATTTATAAGAAGGCTTAACGCCTTTCCATAACTCATACGAGATCTTGTCCACCTCGCTTCAACACAAGTTTCACACTTGTGTTTCGTCAGAACAACCTTGTTGGACTCAAAAAACCATGCGAAAAACATGTTTACTGAGAAGAGACCTTGAGACAAGATTCTAACGAATGTCCGGAACATATAGGACTTCGTTCAAGGTTAGCTCTTTTCCTGAGGTTAACATCAGGACCACCTTTCCCTAAATGAGGTAGTAGAGTTTCCCATAAACAACTTCTCACCGTTTGTAACCGGTTTGAAAGTTGTAAACAGCTCCTTCCCGGAGCAGATGTGGCGTGTAACCCTAGTAAAACTAAAAGCCTCGCTACCACAGTTGTAGCACTTCCCAAAGAACCGAGAACCAGGTTCCCGCGGCTTGTATGCCAGCTTCTTTGCAACACCACTCCTTGGCTCCAGCTAAGAGCCCTTGTTCAAGAGGGGGGCTTCTTCCTCATCCCAGAAAATTTGCCATGCTCAATGACATTGGCCTTCACTGAGGAGGTACTCCCTCCTTTCTTTCTATTATCCTCCTCATTACGGAGTCGGATAATCAGGTCTTCTTTGTAGAATTTATACAAAGTTTTAAACAAATCCTTGTGTCACAATGATTATGAAACTCTCAAAATCATATCACAGTAAATACATTCCCAGAATGTCATCAACCGAATTAGGCACCTAAACATATTTGGTCCAACCTATCACTCTGAAGCTAATAGTCTTACTATTAGGAAATACAAATCCAGTGTTCAATAGTCTACTATTCGGAACTTCATCTCATGGGCAGTAGTCTTATCACTAGGAATCACTAATTTCTCAGCATGTGGTCAGTAGACTTTCTACTAGTAGGAATCACAATGTCTTAACCTGTGATCAGTAGTCACTTTGCTACTAGGAATCACAACGTCCTGACATAGGGTCAATAGACTCTTTCATTACTAGGAATCATCATGTCTTGACATATGACCAGTAGCCTCTCCACTACTAGGAATCATGATGTCTTGACATGTGATCAGTAATCTGTTCACTACTAGGAACCACAATCTCATAACTGTGTAGCCAGTGGTCTAACACCTCCTAGGAACCACCAGTTTTCTATCTCTGTGATCAGTGATCTTGTACACACTAGGAACTACCAATTTAAGAATATATTTGGAATTTAAAAATCCAAAAAAATAATTCACCCACTATAATAGGTTGTCTCATCTTTGCTTTCAAGCAAAGTCACATAACACTCATATATGCTATAATTGACACAAGGATAACATACTAATCACTTCTGATTGATTCAGAGATATTATCGTGCAATCTTTTGATTTCCTTTAATCACACTTGATCTCTCTAGATCTTTCTTTAAGAATCTTGCAAGGCCTAAGGTTGGCAGGTGGAACAATATTTTTGTTGTTACCTCTTGAAGCCATTTCTAAAAAAACCACTATAGAATTTCACTTTTTGAACATTTCTGTTTGTCACCTTTTGAAGCCATTTCTGAAACATCACAACAGAATTTCACTTCTGTGATTCCAGAAAATAAACTTAACCCTTTGGAAAATCCCTTAGATGGAAATTTAATTCAAAACTAGTCTCACCATTTAACCTAAAATCGAACATGGTCAGGAATGTTCCCAGGAAGACTGGAGGGGTCACATCGGTCCCACTTAAAACCCAATTAACCTTTTGACAAAACATTCAAGTGCATGCTGACTCCTAGTCCATAGGAAACAATTTAAAAATTAAGATTTCCAGAAGATAAACCAGGTTATAACAAACCGATTTCGAAGCAAATAAAATTTGCTACCAGAATTACACCACTCATAAAAATTAACCGGTACTCCCGGAACTAAGCCCATTATTTCTGAATAAAATCAAAAATATTTTAGCTAATGCTAAAATTTGGTTTCCTTTCTCAAAACCAAAAACACTTTGGACATAATCAGATTATAACCAAAGACTTTCTCCAAATTTGGTTTTCCAACACTTTAGGAATAAAATGATTAAATCCAAAGACTTCCTCAAACTCCAAAGGTTTGAAACCAAATCCATCTTAGTTGTCATTTCTGAACAAATAAGAACTACTCTTTAGCCAAAGCTAAAACTTTGGTTTCTATCACAGAAAACCAAACCAAGTTCCAAACTTACAAACAATTTAAAAAATTGCTATAACAATTACACGCATATACAATGCTTCTAACAAAACAAGCAAATAATACCTGCCACCACAAATTGATAAACAAATCAACTACATCTCAAGCAAAAAACATGCTTCAAACATTTAAATAAAATAGTCAATCCATAAGGATTCTATTTAGTCCAAAAGCCTTTCCACGCTTAGGTATTCCTATTCAACACAAAAGTTAGTAGTCCAAACATTTTTGTTTTTACATCCCAAATACTATTCATTTGGTTTTATATTTGTTTTTCCATTTGATATCCCTACAAAGAAAGTTAGTAGCAAACCACAACAAAATACAAACAAATAATCTAAAAAAAAAAAATTAATTATAATAAATAATTGAAACCATCTAGCCAACTATTAATTATTAAGTAACCAACTAATATAAGGTACCAAAACAAAATACAAATTTGTTACTTCAAAATTAATTAACAACTTTAAAATAAAGTTCCAATACTCATGAGTTATGAATGAAATTAATTCATAATAAACATTTAAACTAAAACTCCAAATAGATAAGTCAAATTCAAAGTTAATGCACCCAATTAAATAATTTCGGATTAATGCACCTAATTAAATAATCAGTTAATGCACCAAATAAATAATGTTAGATAAGCACCAATTAGATAATTTAGATTAATGCACCCAATAAAATAATTCATATTTAATGCACACAATTAGATAAATTTAGATTAATCATGTACACAATTCATAAACCTCTATAACTCCAAATACATTAAATTATGTAATCTGCCTAAAATAATAAGGCATGTAACAAATTGAGACTAGAATAGAATTAGGCATGTCAAAATTGCAACATCCATAAAATTATATTTATAAACCTTAAAATTCATGCAAATCATGGTAGGGAAAATGATGAACCATACGCATAAAACAAGATCATACTATACAATTAAGTATGCAAATTATAATAGAGCATTCTAATTAAACTAAAGCAATTAGAGAGTACCATTGCATAATTTACATTATTGAAATAGTGAGCAATTCCGCAACAATTCCAGTAACATTATACGAAGCTAACCTATAGTTCATATAAATCTATTCGATCAATTTCATAGAAAAAATATATAATCTGTTTTAAGCTTGTGTTGTTCAAAATTGTGAAATTAAATAAATAGATTTATGAAGAAAATAAATTATATACCAAGAACATATGCTGATAATTACAACTAAATTTCAACAGAAATACACAAAAAACAATAAAGGGTAAAGAGACAAAACCGAAGCCTGCACGGAAGCAGTTTCTTTAAAACAGATTTCGCCGCCTCACGGGTCGAGTGCTTGAGGAAACCCGGCGTCTGTCTCCCAGGATATGACGGTCAAAACCAGTTACGGCAGAAACACTATCTGTCTAGCTTAGCGAACAAAACAATGGCAGCACTCTCTCACAATAGGAACTATCAAGCAAACTGACTTGTAAAATGGAAGCAAAAAATTTCTATATTGAAACTTGACAGGAGGGTCTCAATTTATACATGTATAGGGGAGAGAGGAAAAGCTTCTAGCCTTTAAGGCTAGTCATTAAAACACCAAGCATCCATAGCCCCTTTCCACAAAAAGAAAAGTATGGATGCCCAAAGGATTCACACCCTTTAGCCAAGAAAAAAGATTTAAATACTCTTTAAAATCATATTCATGAATCTAACATCATGAAGTAATTTCTTGGCAATTTCTTATTTAAAACCCAATGATTTTTGGCTCACTTGGACCCAACACAAAAAATGGTTAGGACCCACTTTAATATTTAATTAAAATCACCACACTTTAATATTAAATTAAAGTCCCCAAAAATCATTTTTTCCAACAGCATTGACGTCATTTCATTCTGATAACTTTATTACACATTCATACTTTCCTTGTCCAAGATCATGATCATGAACCAATTTTTTTATTTTTTTTTTCTGAATTATTTTCCTTATTGGAACAAAAAGATAACATAGAATCAAGAACATACATTGCAATGCAACTAACCTCTTATTACTAGTAGGTATTATTTTATTACAAAAGGCGCAATGAAACTTATTGGATTGAAAGAGATCTTCAAAGGCCATTAAGCATACGCATCAGGGTTTTGGATGAGGTAGTCTTCCACAACCTTGAACATCCCTCCAGCCTTGTCCATCCCGGCCTTGATTTCCTCCTCATTAAGCACTAAATCGCCCAACGGATAGTACTTGCTTGTCGATTTGGAAATGCTACCGCCATCTAGGGTGGGCACGAGCTCCATCTCATAACAAATCTTCTCGAACTTACCCATCAAGAGATCACCTTCAATCAAAGTGTACCTATACTTGAATGCCTCTTTATTGACCTCATCAACACGGTGCTTCACAGACTTAAATGGGCCACCTGCATAGACAAACATCATGTCAATCTAATAATGTAGGCGATAAAATTATTAGCATAAAGTAAAATTTGGTGTTTATGTTTGTGTAAATTGTCTAGCCTTCGGCAAAGTTGATTTGCTTGATGCTTCCAGCTCCACCATCGCCTTGGATGACGTCAATGCTCTTAAAGGCTTGTGGCAAGAGTTTTGGGATTAAGTTGTCGCCATCAAGTATCAATGCCTTAAATGCCCTAGCCGGAGGGATTGGTAGGGCGTACTCCTCGGTGATAGTCACAACACCCATGATCTAAGTAGAATTGTGAAGGAAAATTAGAGAGTGAAGAGGAAAATGGGATTGAGTTTGTTTGTGTGAATGAAGTGGTCAGAGGGTTGTGTTTATATTGGTTTGAATTGAGGTATTGAAGGACTATTTTTTGAGGTTGTTTCATTTGGTTAATGTCATCGGAAAATACTATAAAGCAACATATACTAGTTCTTGTCTTCTAGCTTGTATATGTCATTAGCATCGTCCGGCGTAGCAAGAAATTCTATTTGGTGGAGGGTTATTCAAGTTGACTTTAACAAGTTTTTGTAAAATTAAAAATTTAAGGTAATAACTTTAAAGGTAATTACACTTTTCATCCATCAACTTTTTATCTAAAATCTCACTTAAGTCTTTTATTTTTTGATGATAGCAATTAAGTCCCTGGATTTCAATTCAATTTTTAATATAGTCCTCTCATTATCTCACCATTTAAAATTTGAGTAAAAGTTAAAACATGAAATATCAAAATGAAATTTAAGTGAGTAAATAGCTTTTCATAAAAAATTTCTTTGTACACTTTTAAAATTTGCTCATGTGGCCCCCACATAAGCACTTTTAATCAATTCTTTTAATGATGAGTGACGGAAAGATGATAGTGTAACAATGGTTGAAATTAAGAATTTAATTGTTGCAATTTGAAAATAAGGGACCACAATGAAATTAGAATAAAAATTAGAAGAAAAATGTAATTTACTTGACTTTAATGGTAATTTATTGAAGGATAAATACATTATAGTCCTTGAACTAAGCGTTTCATGTTACTTTAATTATTTAAATTTTAATTTTGTCAATTTCATTCTTGAAGTTTTCATTTGAATAAAATTGGTCCAATTTCAAATGGCCATTTAAATCGTTAATGAAATAATTGATCCCTAAAGTATACATTTTGTGTCATTTTCATCCCTACAAGTTTCAATTTTATCACTCAATATTTTAAGTTAATGTTTCATTTTCTTAATCAACATTTCGGGACCAAATTGATAAAATTAAACACTTTAGGAACCAAAGTGACACAAAACAGTGTATTTTATTATTATTCTGTTGACTATTTAGATGATCCGTTTGAAATTGAACCAAATTATCTCAAATTAAAAAAATTTAAGATGAAATTATAGAATTTTTCTTAATAATATATATTTTTTATAGAAAGTTTCTCTAAGTTAATTTTATTCTTCTGACAATCTTTATGATTTAACAAAATTATAAAAGAATTGTTATAATTTGATGTTTCTGAGTTTGCTCCCCACATGAACCCCTGCATCACCTTGGGTTAAGGGTGTAGAAGTTGCTTGGCAATCATTCAAATTCAATAGCTAATTAATTTCCTATTCAAAATCATTGATATTGCCATTTTCAAGGGCCTATGCTTGGAATGGCATATAAGATCCATTTGATGAGCACCATTTGAATTAATAAATCAGCATTAATGTGGCATTAGATAGAAAATTAATAGAAAAATAATTCGTAGCTCGAAAATTTTCTAGCTCGAATGGCCTGATTGACCAAAACGATGTCATTTTGGGTAGTTTTTTTTTTTTTTTTTTTTAATGATCAGGTATCTGAATTTTTCTATTTTTTATTAGATCTCTGAAACAGGGACAAAACAGACGGATGAAGAGAGAGGAAGAGAAAGAGAAAGAGAGAGAGAGAAGAGAGAAGAAAGAGAGAGCCCACTGAGTTTCTTCTTCTTCTTCTTCTTCTTCTTTTTTCAGGGTTTGAAATCGATCGATTTCATCGAAATCGATGGATATGGATTTCACAAAATCGATAGATGTTGATGTTGATGTTGATGATGATGTTGATAAAGATGTTGTTAATGATGATGATGATGATGACGATGATGTTGATGAAGATGTTGTTGTTGATGATGATGATGTTGATGAAGATGTCGTTGTTGATGATGATAATGTGTTGATGATGATGTTGATGAAGATGTTGTTGATGAAGATCACTACAACAAAAAGAGTCTTTGGAGATGAAAACTAATAACAAAAAAATTTGTTTTTGTCATTGAAGAATTTTGTTTTGTACTCATTTTAGTGACGAATTTTTTTATCACCTTAATCTATATCATTGGTGAGGATAAATTTCGTCACTAAAACCTTTATTTTAATATTTTGTGACGAAATATTTCATGGCCAAAACAATTACAAATAAAATATTATTTAATTATAGTGACGAAATGAATGGTATAGAGGACGAAAAATTCAACATTCAGAGACAAAAAATTTCGTCTCCAAAAATGAAGAATAGGCGACAAAAATAAATTTTCATCACTAGGTACTTTCTGCGACGACAAATAGATGACGAACGTGATGACAAAATTTTTTCGTCACAGATAACTTTGGTGACAAAAATTTGATGTTTGGAGACAATCAGTCTGTCACCAAAGGCCTTTTTTGTTGTAGTGGATGATGTATTGATGAAGGTGTTGTTGTTGATGAACCAGCTTCCTCTTCTCTCTCTCTCTCTCTCTGTTCCAGCTTTCTCTTCTCTCTCTCTCTTTCTGTGTTCTTCATCTGCAAAGAGAGAAGGGAAAAAAAAAATTCCAAAACGACGTCATTTTGGACTCGGGCCATTCGAGTCATCTTCTTTTCGGGCTACCAATCGGAACTGAAATTAATATAGTGCTAAAACTAGGGTCTAGCACCATATAATATATACAGTGGTGCTACATGCACCAATTAGTGTACTAACTAGTGTACCAACACTAGTTATGACATTATTATTGACCACACTCATTAATCACATTACAAATATCAAAAACTTCTTAAATTATGCTATATCATCAATTGGTACACTAGTTAGTCCACTAATTGGTGCATATAGCATTATTCTATAATATAACCAAAAAAAAGAACAAAGAACAAAGAAGATAAATATTCATGAAATTTAACAAACATATTTTGTAATCTTATTAATTGTATCTACCATACATTTTGGCATTCAAACTGAATCATACACATTTTGATACATCCAAATATGACTTTGTCAATTCTCAGAAAATCCTTAGATTAAAAATGAATGATGATGAATTTCTTTGCATCGATGGCTTATGGCAATCTATCTTGAAGGATCTCTTGGGCTCTGAGACCAAAAGAACAAACCTATGAGACTTATTGTTGGGTTGTGTCATAAGAGACAATACTTTCAAATGGGGGTTAGGCTGCTAGTCTTGTAGAAGCAATTGGTTTGGAATTCATTATTTTATGTGACATTGTGGTACAACATTACATTTTATTTCTTTCGAGGAAAACCTTTTAAAATTGCTTGTATGTACCAAACATGATTTTTGTTTTCATTTTTACCAAAAATAAAAATAAGCATATTTAATTTTTTTGTAAACAAAATACAGCAAAATATAAAGTTAACATCCATACTATTTTGCCCAAGATCATGAGACAAACTTTATTCTCTCAATTCTTTTCTTTATTGGAACAAAGAGAGTACATATGTTAAATTAAGAACACACATTGTAATGCAACAAACCTGTGATCACTGGTGGGTACTACGTTATTACAAACAAAATGCAAAGCACACACTGTGACTTAAATAGGATTGAGAGTGATTTTCAAAGGCCATTAAGCATAGGCATTAGGGTTTTGGATGAGATAGTCTTCCACAGCCTTGAACATTCCTCCAGCCTTGTCCATCCCAGCCTTAAGTTCCTCCTCATTAATCACATAATTGCCCAAAGGATAGTATTTTGTTGTCGACTTGGTAATGCTACCACCATCTGCTGAGGCCACGAGCTCAATCTCATAACAAATCTTCTCAAACTTGCCAATCAAGACATCACCTTCAATCAAAGTGTAGCTGTACTTGTATGCCTCTTCGTTTACCTCATCAACTCTGTGCTTCACAAACTTAAATGGGCCACCTGAATGGACACATGCTCGTGTTAGTTTAATACTTTTATCACTTAAATTATTGGCATAAAATAAATTTTGGTGATTATGTATATGTAAAATGTCTAGCCTTCGGCAAAGTTGATTTGCTTGATGCTTCCAGCTCCACCATCGCCTTGGATGAGTTCAATGCTCTTAAAGGCTTGTGGCATGAGTTTTGGGATCAAGTTGTCACCGTTAAGTATCAAGGCCTTGAATGCCCTAGCCGGAGGGATTGGGGAGGCATACTCATCAGTGAAAGTCACAACGCCCATGATCTTGTAGAATTGTGAAGGAAAATTAGAAAGTGAGGAGGAAAATTAGAGAGTGAAGAGGAAAATGGGATTGAGTTTGTTTGTGTAAATGAATTGGTGAGAGGGTGGTATTTATATTGGTTTGAATTGAGGTTTTCAAGGCTATGTTATGAGGTTTCATTTGGTTGATATCATCGAAGAATACTATAAAGCAATATATTCTAGTTCTTGTCTAGTTTGTATGTCATCAGTATTGTCTAGTGTGGCCAAAAATTCTATTTAGTGGAGTTATTCAACAAATTATTATTAAAGCTTGGTAAATTACACTTTTTATCTTTTAATTTTTATTCAAATTTCATTGTTGGCCCTCATTTTCTAATTGTAATAATTAAGTACTCAAATTTCAACCATTACTTCACTGTAATTCTCGATCACTTATCGTTAAAAGAATTGATTGAAAGTGCTTCACATGGCAAGTGAGTAGGTTTTAAAGGTATTAAAAGGAAAAAAAATTATAAAAATGATAATTTCACCCTTTAATTTATCTTCAAATTTTACGTTGGTTCTTTATGTTTTAATTTTCACTCAAATATTAAACGGTGGGATAACTAGAGAATTACGATGAAACTCAAATTGAAGTCTACATTGTCGCAATTAAATTTGAAGGATCTAAGTGATATTTAGATAAAAACTGATGGGGTGAAAAGTGCAATTTACCCTTAAAGTTATTGCATTAAATTTTTAGTTGTACAAAAAATTATCAAAATCAACTTTCACTTGATACACTATACAAGAGTGTCGGTGGGAAAGCAAAAATTAAACTAGCAAGCATGTAAACATCGCATATTAACAAAGAAGAGTAGCTCTTAATTAGACAATAATATTAGGATGATCACATATTTTATAAACATTGAGACAATGGGTCGCACATAAATTCCATTAATGTCTAACCATTGCGAGTGTGGTAATCATGCAGTATAAATGTGGTATACCTTAAAAAATTGGTGTATTATAAAAAATTTTCGATAGTAATCAGCGTTTTTGGTTTCTAGCAAGCATGTAAACATCGCATATTAACAAAGAAGAGTAGCTCTTAATTAGACAATAATATTAGGATGATCACATATTTTATAAACATTGAGACAATGGGTCGCACATAAATTCCATTAATGTCTAACCATTGCGAGTGTGATAATCATGTAGTATAAATGTGGTATACCTTAAAAAATTGGTGTATTATAAAAAAATTTCGATAGTAATCAGCGTGTTTGGTTTCAGTTTTCTAAAAATCGAGTTTTTTGTTTTTCATGTTTTTTTGTTTTGTTTTTTAGTGAATATTTTTAAAATTTTAAGAATTTTTTGTACTTTTTTAGATACACCTTACTTGGATGTGTCTAAAAAGGAAAATATTTTAAAAAATTAATAAATACACAAAAATACAAAAAAAAATACTAAATTTTCATTTTTTTTATATTTTTGGTATTTAGTGAATTTTTTTTAAAAACAATTCACAAAAATTATACTTTTTAAGTGTATTTATATTAGGTGTGTCTTAAAAAAAATTACTTAAAATATTAAAAAAATCTGTAAAAACAAAAAAATACAAAAAATAAGAAAGTAGAATTTTTAAAAATTGTTTTCAAAAAACTGAAAATAAACATGGTGAATATAATTTTTTTTATTGAGTTTTTTCTAGTCATATCTAGTTTTCTAAAACCTATTTAATTTTGGAACATTTACCAATAAGTTATATCTCACAAACAAGTACATTAATTAATTTTATTTTTTTTCTATTGATATGTTAAGTCCTATTAATGGAGAGTATCTTTTCATGTGGTCCTATTTTCGATTTTGGTAATATTTTAGTGGACGACTATACTTTTTTATTAATGTGACACGTGTGATGTGACATTCCAATGTGGCAAGTATTAATGTGACACTCTAACATGATGAGTATTATGTGACACTCCAAAAAAATTAAAAATTTCTTAATGTATTTTTCTCAAATATGACAACGTGGTGGGTTTAATGTGACATTCTAAATCTTTTACTCAAAAAAAGCTAAAAACTCTTTAGTGTACTTTTTCTAAATGTGACAACGTAGCGGCTATAATATAACACTCCAAAAAAATTAAAAACTCTTTAGTGTACTTTTTTCAAATGTGACAACGTGACAGCTATGATGTGACACTCTAAAAAAATTAAAAACTTATTAGTGTACTTTCTCTAAATGTGACGTTGCCCAAATATGATAACGTAACGAGTATAATGTGACACTTCAAAAAAAAACTAAAAACTTATTAGTGTACTTTTTTCAAATGTGACAACGTAACGAGTATAATGTGACACTCTAAAAAAATTAAAAACTCATTAGTGTATTTTTTTCAAATGTGACAACGTGACAGGTATGATGTAATATTCCAAAAAAACTAAAAATTTATTAGTGCACTTTTCTGAAGTATGACATATAACACTCTAACGTGGCGGGTATGATATGACATTGCAAAAAATTAAAAACTATTTAGTATACTTTTTTTAAATGTGACATTCTAATGTAGTGGGTATGATGTGACACTAAAAAACTCCTTAATATACTTTTTTCAAATGTAACACTCTAATGTAGTGGATAAATAAATCATTACACATTAAAAAGAACTAAATGAATCACAATAAAAAAATATAAATTACAAGTCCAAAATATCAGATTTATTGGTCAATCTCTCCTTAATTTTCTATTCATAGTAATTGATCTTTTCATTTTCAAGGACTTATGTTTGGAATGACACACAAGGTCCATTTGATGAATACGGGGTCACTACTGTGACCCCTTGCTGTGCATAAGACGGCATAGTTTCACTTCCTCCATTTTTCTTTTTTTTTGTACTCATTATGTATTTTGGTGTGATAAATTACACTTTGCCCTTATATTTGGTCACTTTTTTATTTTATTTCTTTTTTTTTTTAATTTTAGGGTTTAGGATTTAATTTTTTTTTCTTTTAGGGTTTAGGGATATTTTTTTTATTTTTTATTTTAGGGTTTAGGGTTTAGGATTTAATTCTTAAAATTTATTTATTTATTTATTTTAGGGTTTAGGGATAAAATTTATTTTTTTATTTTAGGATTTAGGGATAAATTTTTTATTTTTTTATATTAGGGTTTAGGGTTTAATTCGTAAAAATTATTTTTTTTTTTATTTTAGGGTTTAGGGTTTAGGATTTAATTATTAAATTTTTTTATTTTATGTTAGGGTTTAAGATTTAGGGTTTAGAGTCTAGGGCAAAGTGTAATTTATTATGCCAAAAAACATAGTGAGAATATGAAGAAAAGAAGAAAAAAAAAGAGGGTGAAGCTGTGCCGTTTTAGGCACAGCCGAGGGTCACAGCAGTGACCCCGTGTCTCCATTTGATAGGCACCATGTGAACTAATTAAGGTGGCATTAGATGGAAAATTAATTATAGAAAAATACTATATGCATTAATTAGTCTACTAACTAATGTATCAATTGATGATGTGACATAATTTAATAAATTTTTGATATTTGTAATTTGTTTAATGAGTTGAGTCAATAATAATGTCATAACTAATATATTAACACTAATTAGTACACTAATTGTTACATGTTACATCACTGTTAATTATATGGTGCTAAAGCTCCTAGCTAGCACCATATAAATAACAAAAAAATGATAAATATTCATGAAATTTAACAAACATATTTTGTAATCTTATTAATTGTATGAGCAATACATTTTGGCATATTCAAACGGAATCATACACATTTAGATACATTCAAAGATAACAATCCTTAATAATAAAAATAAAAATATGAATGATAATGAAATTTTGGCATCCATATCGGATGTGGATGTTGTTCAAGATGGACTAACAATAAATGACGCGTAGGCATTTTTTGGCCCAAGTCTAAAAGAACAAACTTGTGTGGTTTGGTTGATGGGCTAAATCATAATAGACCATACTTTCAGAAAGAAGCTGGATCGACAATCTTATAGAATAAACTGTCGATTAGTTTGGAAATCAATATTTTACATGACTTTACTGTATAACGACTCCGTTTGGGTCATTTATAAGTTGGTTTTTATTATCTTTTTAGATTATTATCTGAAAAGATTTAATAAATGAGTTGCAAAATAGTTTGGTGCAAATTTCTATATTTTCTCAAAAAAATTGAATTTGTTTTGTTAAATAAGTTGTCACATAGTCTTTTTGTTAATTTATTAGGATTACAGACATAATAAAAAAATGAAAGACAAAGGGTGGATACCGGTTCTGCGTAAGCATGGTGGTACGGGAGGTAGGAATTTAGATCTGGGTAATGAGATTCATACGATTTTTGTGGATAATCTCCCAGAATCTATGGACCCAAAAGGGTTGTATAACATATTCACCAACTTTGGGATAGTGAAGGATGTGTTCATCCCTAACAAAAGGAGAAAGTTGACTAAATCAAGATTTGGGTTTGTCCGATACGCTTGTCCAGTGGCAGCAAACATGGCGGTACAAAAAGCTCATGGTATCTGGTGCGATAACAGAGCTCTGAAAGTGAAGATAGTAGATTTTGTTCAAGGAAAGGAGGACAACCAGAAATCAGTAATTACATCAATTGGTAGAAGGGATTTTGCCACAAACAGCAGCGTTACAGATACGTTACAAAGAAGGAATTTTGCCACAACCAGCAGAGTTACAAATACGGTACAAAGGGGAAAGTCTTATGCTCAAATATTGACTGGTTCAGGGCTGGCTTCAAATTCAAACATCAGTATCCAAGCTTACGAGGAGGGTAATGGATGGTTGTATGAAAGTGCGATTGTTCGATTGAAATCTCACATACTTGCGGGGGAGTTCAAAGAGGAATTGAAGAACAGAGGAATGGGTAATGTTTATGTTAGAGATGGAGGGGGAAGAGATATTGTGCTAACGTTTGAATCAGCGGGTTCCTTAAAAGAGAAGCTCAAATCAATGGAGGGGTGGATTCAGTCATGGTGCGAATCTGTCAAGGTATGGCAGCTGGGGATGATCCTTGATCAAGAAAGATCTGTGTGGCTCACTTGTTATGGTGTTCCTCGGAATCTCTGGAGTAGCAAAA